GTAAAAAGGGTCTGTTCACTCCTGCTAAGTAACCTGGAAAGGCAGCACTTCTCTGCCGAGCCTCAATTTCCAGTCTCGCTTCCACCTCCCCTCTCTCAGGCTCAGAGTTGCCTCATCAGCATAAATACCCAGACTGGCAGAGTCTGGAATGCTTCCCCCTGGGCTCTCAGGAGAGCTGAATCCAGGCTGTGCTTGGGAGGGTTCCTGCCTTGTCTGGGGGGGCTGCTCAGGGACCTCCCCAGGCAGACAGGACTTCCAGCAGCGCAGATTTTGCAGGGCAAGATTCCAAATCTGGAATTCTGCCACCTCCCTCAGCTGGTGGCGGGGTGTGACCCTCTGTTGCTGGTCACTCTGGGGCACTTCTGGCTGCAGGTGCCAAAATGTCCCCATCACTCGAGGTCACACTGTTCCGTTCTCCCATTTCTGCCTCCAAAACGCCACATTTAAAGCAGGATTGGTCTGAATGTGTTTGGTTTTTGAGAATAAGCACAAACACTGCTTGTGGCACTGCAGGGGACAGAAGGAGGGGTTATTTCCCTCCTGGATTTGTGGTTTCTTTCCCTCTCCCTGGATAGGAACGAGTTTCCTGGCCTGGCTAATCCAGACAATGATGGTTTTGCCACCCTCAGCTGCTCCAGTACTGAGCACATCCCTCTGAGCTCTCCTGGATCACTGTTCTCTTCCAAAGCTCTCTCTGCCTTGGGAGGAGAAGTTCTCCTGCACATCCATCTCCTGATCCTCTGTAAAATTAGCACTTCAGTGCTTTAATTAGGATTTCCACACTCTCCATCTCCCATCCTGCCCAACACCAGGCTGGTGCTGTCAGCAGGGCCTCCCTCAGCTGAACTCTCACTGCTGAGGGTGGACCATGGCAGGAATGCTCCCACCTGGCATATTTCAGTTTTGGAAGGAGGTTGTTGCTTTATTTGGTATTTCCTTATCACTCACAACAACTCCTGGAAGGTGGCTGTGCTCAGGTGGGGCTGGGCTCTGTCTCAGGCAGCACTGACAGAACCAGGGGACACAGTTTTAAGCTGCACCGAGGGAAATTTAGGTTGGATGTTAGGAAATTTTTTTTTTCCAGAAAGAGTGATAAAGTTCTGGAATGGAGTTTAAAAAAAGCCTGGATGTGGCACTGGGTGCCAGGGTTTAGTTGAGGTGTTAGGGCTGGGTTGGAGTCGATGATCTTGAAGGAAGAGACCTGAAGGTTTCTTCCAACCCAGTGATTCTGGGATTCTGGGATTCTGGGATTGGTGACTGCTGGAGGTTTATTCTCAACACAGAATGGTCCTTGGACACTTCCAGAGATCCAGGGGCAGCAACAGCTGCTCTGGGAATTCTATTCCAGGGCTTTCCCATCCTTCCAGGGAACAATTCCTTCCCAATATCCCATCCATCTCTGCCCTCTGGCAGTGGAAGCCATTTCTTGCTCAGCCATCCTTTCTGATTCTCTGCTCTAGGGGACACAGGACACTTGGAATTGATTCCTGCTGCTTCTCTTAGAAATACAGTGAAAGTCTCCTCTCTGTTTCTCCTCTTCTCTCCACTTTTTAAATCTTCAGATTGATTTCTAAAGATTTTAAGTTTTCCATACTCTCAGAGCCCTTCCGTTGCTCTCCTACAGCATTTCCAGCTGTAAGAATTTGCCCAGTGCTGTTGAACCTCTGATCCTTTGTCCCCTTTCCCCTGTTCCAAGCCACCACTTTTCTGCCTTCCTTTCCCTTAAAAGCTGACCTGCAGAACTGAAAAGCCCCTTTTGAACATCTCCTTTCAGCCCTGGCTCTTCCAGCACAGAATAACATGAAAACAAACTTTTTGAGGGGAGATCAAACACAGAGTCCATGCTTGGAAGCCAACAAGCTTCTTTGATTTTTTCCTTTTTCCTGTTTGGTGGGGGTTTTTTTGGTTTTTTTTTTTTTTTTTTTTTTTTTAACATACTCACAGGAAGTTTGGCAAAAGAAATATTCCTGTACCTCCAGGATCCATCTTCTGTTCTGAAGCAGAGTGTAGAGGAGAGGTGGCCTCTACATTTACCAGTCTAGGACCTAGATCAGGTGCTGGGGATCAGAGTAGCATCACCTTCCCAATGGAATCTCCAGTTTCAGGATTTATGGGTAGTTCAGCATGGGTGAGGCTGCCTGAGAGTGGTGGGTGCTTTTGCAGTTAAATTATCATTTTATCACAGAATTGTAGAACAATTTGGGTTGGACAGCCTTCAGTCAGCTGGGAGGGTGGCCCTGAAGGGGCCCCTGTGAGGAATGTCCCAGGGGATGGGGAGAGTCTTTTTCTCACTCCTGAGTTGGTTCTTGGTTGCAGGAAGAAAATCAGCCAGGTTGGGTTGGGTTGGAGGTGAGGGAGCTTCAAACCATAGGATGGCTTTGGTTGGAAGGGACCTTGAAGACCACAGAATCCCAGACTTAATGAGGTTGGAAAAGCCCTCAGAGCATTGAGTCCAAGCTGTGCCCGATGCCCACCTTGTCACTCAGGAAGGCCTGGACACCTCCAGGGATGGGCACTCCAACCCTCCCTGGGCAGTTCCAAGGTCTGACCCCACTTTCCATGGGGAAATTCCTGCTGGAGTCCCCCTGAGCTGCCCTGGCCCAGCCTGGGGCCATTCCCTCTCCTCCTGTCCCTGTTCCTGGAGCAGATCCCAAACCTCTCCTGGCAGGAGCTGTGCAGAGCCACGAAGGCCCTGAGCCTCCTTTGCTCCAGGCTGAGCCCCTCAGCTCCCTCAGGGATTCTCCAGCCCCCTCAGCTCCCTCAGGGATTCTCCAGCCCCTTCCCGGTTCCTCAGGGATTCTCCAGCCTCTTCTCGGCTCCCTCAGGGATTCTCCAGCCTCCTCAGCTCCCTCAGGGATTCTCCAGCCCCTTCCCGGCTCCCTCAGGGATTCTCCAGCCCCCTCAGCTCCTCAGGGATTCTCCAGCCCCTTCCCAGCTCCCTCAGGGATTCTCCAGACCCTTCCAGCTCCCTCAGGGATTCTCCAGCCCCCTCAGCTCCCTCAGGGATTCTCCATTCCCTTCCAGCTCCCTCAGGGATTCTCCAGCCCCCTCAGCTCTCTCAGGGATTCCCTGGCCCCTTCCCAGCTCCCTCAGCCTCTCCTGGTTCTCCAGACCCTCTTTCAGCCCTTTTCCCTTCCCTGCACATGCTCCAGCCCCTCAGTTTTGTCCTGAGGGTCCCAGAACTGGACAAGCCCTGGAGTTGTGCCCTCCCCAG